TTCCAGTGCTAGTGACTAGCTTTCCAGTGCTAGTGACAGCTAGGCTAAGGATTTTCCAGTGCTAAGCAGCAAGGTGAAGATGAGCAAAACAAATAACTACATAAATGAGACGAAAAGACGCGGGAAATGAGAGAAGTGGCGGCCACGCACGGCCGAGCAGGCGAGCCCAGGCCCTGCTCCTCCTCACCTGGATCCAGGCGCCTCTCCCAGAGTCCTGGCGAGCGCCGGTCCCGGCCCCTCGCTCCGCGTGCCTGGAGCGGCGAGCGGCTCCTTGGGAAGCTCCTGGTTCCTCCCTCAGGTGCCAGGTGGATGAATCGGTTTGGGAAGCAGCGAGTCCCGCCCCGCGCCCGGATTGCCCCCACAGGGAAAGCGGCCGGAGCTCCAGGACTTGCGCCCGTCTCTCGCCCCTAAGTTTTCCAAACAACCCCCTTTGCTGCTCTCTGGGGGGGACACACGGGGCCAGCGGGGCCAGGGCCGCCAAGAGGGCTTCTCTTTGCAGTATAAATCACTCGCATTGTTTAAGGTACATTGATCAGTCTAATGGCTGGTAATAGGCTCCTAATTGCCACTAGGAAAGTACTGCGGGCTCGCGTCTGAACGCGAAGCGGGTCGTGCTCGGAGCGGGGATTCACCTTCACCCGAGCCGCAGCGATGCCAGAGCCCGGGAGCGGCTCCCGGCCCCGCGCACCAGGACGGCGGAAGGGGCAGGGGGGAGCAGCCGCTGGATCTGCCCCTTCCCACTTCACTAACGGGCGACACCTGCGCAGGGGCTTCCTTCCTGCGCAGCGGCCACGGGCGAGCCCTTAGCCGCTGCGCGCCCGCGCAGCCGCCTCCGCGCGCAGCAGCCGCCGTGCGCGGCCGCGGAGCGGGCAGGGGGGCGGCGCAGGGGGCTCCTGCCTTAAGGGCGCCCCGCGCACCCTGCGCGGGGCCGGGCGGAGGGGACGTCACCCGGGCCGGCCGCGGGCGATACCGCCCTGGCTGCCGAGCCCCTTCCAGGGGCTGTGTTGAAGAGGCGCTTCCGCGCCCTGCAAACGCGCGCCCAGCGCTCGCTCATTAACGTCGCCCTATTTAGGGGCCCGTTCATGTGAGGAGAGGCTTCCGGGCGCTGCCGCTGGCTGCACCTCAAGGCTGGCGCAGCCTGCGCGTGTCGCGTGTAGCCCGCGGAGCACAACAGCCTCGCAAAGCGAGCGAGCCAGGGGAGCAAACGCTCATCCCCACGCAGGGCTCCCCTACCGCTGCGGAAAACAAATCCTTGGCGCTGCTGAATAATCTGACAATAATTGTAGTAATTAAAATCATCATAGAGTCTGCAGTCACCTTCCTTCCTTTGACACCAGCCTTCTTTTTAATTGTTAACGTGTCTTCGGCGCAGATAAACAGAACAGGAGAGGTTTAAAATACACGGTCCACATAAATTTAGAGGAGAAGAAATACCTCGGCAGAGGTATTTCGGAGTGCAATAACAGACAAGAGGATTTTTAAAACTCTCCTGCGGATTTTCTAAGTGCAGTGCAATACGTGTCACCCCGCTACTTCTAAACAGTGTCACCTTAAAGACCGAGGAGAGATTAAAGCCCTGTCTGATGCTCCATCTTGGGTCTTTATTTGCAGGGGGGTAGGAGTAGGAGGGAGCGCGTTATGTAACAAATATTATATGAAAGCTCAAGCAGAAATTGTTGGAGAGTTCCTCAGTTTTAATTTAATTTCCAGGATCTATTTGATCCCAGTGCTCAGCCCCTTTTTATTAACTACAAAAGATTTCCTTCTAATCAAAAGCTGCACTTCATCTTTACCCACACATGAAAAAAACTCCACGGCAGAAAGAATTCAGTGGACTCAACAGGCACCAAGGTCTGTATTTCAGCACTACCTCGCTCCATTCTCCCCCCTTTCCCCTCCGCTCTTTGGCAGAACCGAGGGGAAGCCTCTTCCCGAGTGAAGTTACTAATTTATGGCCGGCTCCCCCCCGCGCCGCGCCGATAACCAGGGGTGGATTCTGGAGCGCGCAAACGAGACGCGTAATTGAGAGGCAGGGGGAGAGGTCCCCGCGGGAGCCGCGGCGCGGAGCCCGGCAGCGCCGGCGTTCCCGGAGCCAGGAGCAGCCCCTGCCCTTCCCGCCGCGCTCCGCCCGCCTGCGGGAAAAGCGGGATGCTTCCCGGCAAATTGGGCGGCTTTTGCTGCTTTCCCACCCTCGACAGCCCCCTCCAAAACTCCGTGCCCCTCCAGGATGCTCAGGCAGCTGCCCAGCAGCCTTGCGTTCAGCCGCTGTCAGATCCATTTATCTGGGGAATATTTCGCAGACCTTTGCAGGAGCAGCAGAGCCGTTTCGCGTGACGCTCCCGAACGCGAGCCCGGAGCCTCCCCGCCAGCCCCAAGGAGCGATTCGCCTCCCGGCTTCTCCCCTCACACAGCAACTTTCCTAGATGCCCACATCAAAAGATACCCATAAACAGGAGATGGGCAACAGCATTGCTCCAAGGGAGTGAACTGTTGCATTTAATTAGGCTATTCCTCTTTATTAGTATTCATACGGAGTGGGGTTTTTTTTTTTTTAAGATTTATGTTGATTTAACCGTAGTGTATTTATGATGTAAATACATTCTGAGATGGAAACGTCACGGATCAATTGTAAAGGACCCGGATACATAATTTTAAAAAATCAGTTTCAGTTTATATGAGGTTCTCACCCCACTTTCGCTTCTTAGTCAGATTTGTTTATGCAGAATCGACATTTAATAGTGCTAATTGCACTCCAGTTAAATTGCCCTGATTGCAGAAAGGGAAGCAATTTTCGTGCTCTCTGTCTGGGTTTGGAAGAAATTGTTTTATATTCACCTCTTTATAAAGAAGTGGAGATAAGGCACCGAGCCTTTGCACAAATTGCACTTATGGGCTGACTGGCAGCATTCAGGCGCTATAATAGAGCATTATTTGGCCGTTTTGAATAATGTAAAGCATTTGCTGAAAGCTATTCTCCTGAAAATTGCTTTAACTTTTAAAAGGGTGATGATTCACTCCGAACCAGGCCTTTGTTACATTGTCATTATCCCCCCAAATGTTTTAACAGTCAGCTCAACACTTTAGCATAACACGTTGATCTTTGTTTAAAAACTGGATTTTTTTTTTTTTTTTTTTGAGTAGGGATATAAAATATATATATAAATCTGTCT